AACTATCTTATTGTACTGGACTCACCCCTATTGTGATGATGTGAGATGATACAATGCCTATGGAATGAGATGAAGTGAGGTACTCAGAACAATACACAATTTAAAACTAATGAATTGTATATTTCTGGAATTTTCCATCTAATATTTTCAGACCACCGTTGACCACAGGTAACTGAAACTATAGAAAGTGAAACTTCAGATAAGGGGGAACTACTGTATCACAATTTTGAAAATAGCACACTAAAATATATGCCCCAATTCTCCCCCCCCCCCAAAAAAAAGGAGCAAAAAACTGGTTTGGACACAACTTTTATTGGCTAAATATGCTTGAGACAAGAAGTCACATTGGAAGCTTGCTCCATTACATAGACATATGCGGGCTTGGCTAAAGCAGGGTAGTTATCAGACATTTAAGACTGAGCAATGAGATGTTTCCATTCAAAGGGAAAATACATCACAACGAGGCACAAATATCTGTACATGATGAGTGGCTTCCCTGTCCATCCCAGTGCTAAGGAGAGTCTCATAGGTTTGGCTTATTTAGCAAATGCCTTTTGGCGGGCTAAACTCTGAATCAACAATTATATGGGAAAAGGGAATGCTTTCACAAAACATGACAAGATGGCTGCAATTATAATGAAGTTTGTTGGATAAGGAGTTGATTGTGGGTACTATGAGTCACTTGAGACTCAGTTCATTTTACATGTGATAAAAATTGCAACGTTCATGGTGAAATGAAAAACTAAGCCATCAGTCTTCTTTCTTCACTCATCAAGCCTTTGTGTAGATCCCTGAGATAGAAGGATTCCACCCAATGGAAATAAAAACCTGCCCAATAAGAAGTAAAATGATGTCTCAGCAAAAAGGCACTGGTGGGAATCTTCAACATCCCAGCCTGAAAACATTGTACGACACCAACTTGTTGGCACATTATGAATGACTCTCTCCGGTATTACCTTGAGAGAGCTGTCATCCTCTCCTCTCATAGTCTGGGACCCCTCAGGGGATGTCCACCTGCCGGCTTAGGCCCGATCCCTTACAAAACAGATCTATATTATCTTCTAAATGGAATCACTTCAAATATTAGAAAATTATTATTCTGATTATCTTAGTCTTCTTTAGAGCTAACACCTTTGCTGTAAAAGCAGTATTCTTATGAGATGTTTTTGTTTTTTTTAACACACCTCCTTCTGGTCTTCTGAAAACATTTCAATTTCTTTCTTAAACAGTTGTGACCAGACTTGAACATAATCATTGACAAGTCCAGAGACAAGCTGTCACCAGCACTTTATAGAAAAAAGAAATGCTTCTAGTAATATATTCTAAATTCCCATTAACTCTTGTGTTTACATGGTACAGTTGATTACTACTGAATTTGTTGTCTAGGAAATGACCTAGAATTTTTATATGCTCCTGTAAACCATGTTTCTCTCATCCTAGTCTTATGCAGTTGTTGGTTTTTATCCAAGTTCATATCCTTATAATTAATCTCTTACATTTCAGCTTGTTTTATTTTGCTCATTGCTCAAACTGTAAAGATTCTTTTAACTGAGATATAATTAACATATAACACTCTATAAGTTTAAGGTGTACAATGTGTTGGTTTAATACCCTTATACTGCATATTGCAATATGACTACCACTGTAGTTTACTAACACCTCCATCACATCACATATTTATGATTTAATTTTTGTGATGAAAATATTTCATATCTAGTCCCTTAGCAACTTCAAAGTATATAATACAGTATTATTGACTATAACCACAATGCTGGGCATTAGATCTCCAGAACTTATTCATCTTCTAACTGCAAGTTGGTATCTTTTGACCAGGATCATCCCCCTTCCCCCCAACCGCAGCCCTTAGTAACCACCACTCTATTCCAATCAATGATGAGAAAGACTCATTGATCAGCTGCCTCCTGCATGCTCCCTACTGGGGATGGAGCCCACAACCTGGGCATGTGCCCTTGACTGGAATCAAACCCAGGACCCTTCAGTCCACAGACTGACATTCTATCTACTTAGCCATACCAGCTAGAGCTAATTCAACTTTTTTAGATTCCACATATAAGTGAGATCACACAATCTGCTTATGTGCTTTATTTCACTTAGCATAATGCCATCAAGTGCATCCAGGTTGTCATAAATGACAGGTTTCCTTCTTTCTCATAGCTGTATAATATTCCATCCTATTGTAATGCATAAATATAAGAGTAATCGTTTTATATTTCCTAACTTTGAAAGGAAAAGAATGTTCTCATATCTTCCTTTTTTATTATTTTGTCAATCACAGTGTGTATTCAATATTATTTTTTTAAAATATATTTTATTGGTTTTTTACAGAAAGGAAGGGAGAGGGATAGAGAGTTAGAAACATCAATGAGGGAGAAACATGGATCAGCTGCCTCCTGCACACTCCCTACTGGGGATGTGCCTGCAACCAAGGTACATGCCCTTGTCTGGAATCGAACCCGGGACCCTTCAGTCCGCAGGCTGAGCCAAACCAGTCAGGGCTCAATATTATTTTATATTAGTTTCAGGTGTACAGCAAAGTGATATATAGACACATATAATTTTTGAAGAGATCCAAGAAAAAACTGATAGTTGCCAAAGTAGATTTCAGCAAGGATTTGAGAAATAAACTCAATTTATATATCATAAATCATCTTCACTGTTGAATTTGCATTTAGCTCACTATAAAATTGTAGGTGATGGCTTTCCTCCCTCAGCGCATGGAAAACACTACTCCCTTGCCCTTTGTCTTCTGGCATCTGGTATTGCCCACGAAGGCTATTGTCAGTACAGGCTACGCCTGCGGGCAATAATTCAGCTTACTTCTTTATCTCACATTTCTGTGGTCCTGTTAGAATGCATGTAAGTGTGACTCTACTTTTATTAGTTCTGGGCAGCATGTCATGTACTCTTCTAATGGGAGGCTTTGTTTCGTTGTGTTTTCTTTCAATTCTGGAAAGTTCTCAGCCAAATTCCCTGAAAATAATACTTCTCTGATAATCCATGAGTTTTCTCCTTATGATAAAAATCTTATTGGGCATATGTTGGAGCCTTTCCATGCTACACTGTACTTGTCTCCTTTGTGTTTCATCTTTTTACTTTCTGCTAAATTCTGGGCAGATATTATTCTCTTCGAATATTTTTGATGACTATGTGTTTTTGTTTTTACATTTGTTTTTCATTCTCTCTCCTTGTTTTCCTGCTTGCCTATATTTGTTTTTATAATTCATTGTTCTCTTGCATGAATAGCACAAATGTTCTCATAGTCTTTCCTTTATCACATTGTTTACGTTAAACATACGCATATTAAACTAGTTTTAGATGATTCTGTTTTTGTATTTGATCAGGAATGTAGCCATCTCCTGGTTGTTGAGTTGGCTCTCTATTTTTCGGTGTTATTTAGCTTTTTTGTTTTCAAGAAACACATCAAGTGAGAGGTATATTTCTCACTCTCACTCACTCTTCATAATGTGATGCTTTTCTCTCGTCTCCACTGGTCCCTCGGTACCTTCTTTGATCAGCATCTCAGGATCCCTGCCCCACATCCATTAGTGGTTCTGGACAGGTCTCTGACCCATGTCACTGAGCCTGTGGGCTGCTCGGCCCAGGGCAGGTCTGGATGCCTTTCTCTGCATCTCTCCCTCCTGCAGCCTGACACAATTGAGTGGGATAGATAGTGTTTTCAGCATCTTTTTATGAGTAGCAGACCCACAGCCCCTGACTCTGTGCAGGTGCCCTGGGATCTGGTCTCCCTGTGGAGAGCTCGGAGTGGAGCACTTTACCCCCTGGAGTATGGGGCCTCTGCATCTTCCTGTTCCCACACCTGAATTGCAAACTGTCTCTGGCTTTAGCCCCCATTAACTGACCATTTTGTAGTTTTCTGGTCTAAAGAGATCTTATTTTGTTTTCAAGAATACAGTATTTTTAAAAAGTGTCTATTGTTGTATTTAGAACTAAAGATGTAATGTGTATTTGGTCACAATGCCAAAATAACCAGAAATGCTTTACATTTTTCATATGTGTTGCTCTCAGTTACACATATGACCACATATGTATGTGGCTTACATACATTGCATATATCTGAAAAACATCATTCAGCAGAATTCATTCTGTTTTCAAAGAGGTCATAGTAAATTTGACATTGTACTAAAACAAAATTTCGTTTTTTATCCGTAACTAAGTCCCAGATCAGGATTGGGCTTATATATAGAAATCAACTCACTTGGTCTAATATGTAAGGTCACAGGTATGGTACTCTATACCCCAATAGTTTTCTTGTTTACCATGATATGTAATATAAGTTCTGCCAGAGTCATTCTCCCTGATTGGATCCCTTTTTATCTTTTCACAATTCTCCATGAAATGAAAATAGATCTGGGTGGTGGGGGGAAAGGTTATGTAACAGAGCATGTGGCGCGTTGCCAATATTATCGAGATCAGCCCAGGAGGGTGCACCGGAAGTGCCAAAGAGGAGATTGAATGTTTAAAAAAAAATGTGAGCGAACACCAAAAACAAACTTGATCTTCCACACAACGTTATGTCGTTAAAAACCTCGCAATGGTGATTTATGGAGCTCAGTTAACCTTACTGTAAACATCAGTGGAGAAATGAGAACTACACACCCCCTGTAATCATTGAAAGGAGTTCATCCAGGAAAGCAGATGTAATCATTGAGTAAAGAAGGAAGTTAAAAATACATTTCCAAACTTTATATTTACCTTCCCAACTGATTCTGATTCTGTGGCGATATTGTTGCTATGATCTTATGCAGCAGGTAATGATAGAAGTTTGTCCCCAAAAGCTTTTAGGATATTCTCCTAAAAACTTTTCGGGAGAAATTTTAATTTGACAGCCCAGGCCTATTTGTTTTCACCTTTTCTAAACACGCTTCCCTCCCCCACCTTTTAATCAAATTATACGTCCTTACTTCCTTATCTTTATTGTGATTTTTTCCCCCTACCTTATGTTTTCTCTCTCTTTTCAGCCAATCCGGGACTACCGTAGCTGAAATGCGAAAGAGGCAGCAGTCACAAAATGAGGGAACACCTGCCGTGTCTCAAGCACCTGGAAACCAGAGGCCCAACAACACGTGTTGCTTTTGTTGGTGCTGTTGTTGCAGCTGCTCCTGGTATGTCCTGTTATCTGTAAGATACCCTAGCTGAGCGCGGTCATAATGAGAGTGAACATCATGTCAGTTCTTAGGGTCATACAAACATCTCAATCTGTCTTCTTCCTTTAAAAGTAAAAATTGCTGGAGAGCATCATTGCTTTAATGCTAGCCTTTCTATATGCAAAAATGCATTTCCTCAGAATCTATACTTAAATTGATAGTAAAGAATGAAAAATTATCTCATATCATGTTTTGCTTCACCCACGTTTCTTTAAAGATATGGGTGAAAATAAGATTATGGTTGTATATTTATTTAACAATAAACCATGTTCTCCAATGTTACAGAAGGTGCAAGAACATTGAGATACCATCTAGCAGTATTGGACGTGTGTGTTTTAGTTTTACGCTATTTCATAGGGCGTTGCTCATTCAGTCCCAGAGTCAGAAAACTGAGTCAGGGTGGCAGCCTCGCCTCAGAGCCCTGACAAAGGCAGTAAAAGAAGCGTCGCAGACTCGTGCTGACAGCTCTAAAGGCCAGGGGCTATGATGGGTATGAAGGCCAAGTCGGTTAATTAGAAACTCTGAACTCAGAGCCAGAGAATCTGCTTTCCATTGCGATTTTATCACTGACTGGCTCTGTGACATTAAAGTTGTAATCTCTGTCTTTTGGCTTCCTTGTTGGCAAAACGAAGAGTGACTCAAGTTGAATCCCAAGGTCCCATCTAGTGCTAAATGTCCATGATTCAGGCCCCTCAGAAAACCTGCTCCAGTTCCAAATTCCCAAAAGACCTTCAAGTAAGAAAAGCAGTAAGACCCGGAGTCCCAAGATATGTGCAGATGCGTTTTCTCAAGGAGATGTTAGACTAGTGGAACTTTCCCAAGAACCATAGGTTTCGAGGTCCTCTAAGATCCAACTCACAAGGGGATCTGCTGGGTTAGCAGTGGCTTTCTGGAACACCCCCCCCCCCACCTCCGCCGCCCCCAGAACTATTTCAAGCCCTAGAGAAGGACCAAATGCCTGTATGATCTCCACTAGTTCCCAGCATCCATTCGGGTTATTGTTATGACGCGGTGACATGATGTTCTAGCATTGTGGCCAAGGTAGAAGATGAGATGTGTGTCCTGGTGCAGTGGTAAACTTGGTGTAGAACAAGCTCTGACCATCGAGAACACTTCATTTGCAGAAAACCATCCGATATTGTGATTCGGAGGATTTAAAGTAGGTTTTATAAATATCAAAATTGCTGCCCAGATGATGATTCTTTGTTAGGGAAAGTAAAAAATTATTCCTTTTATTTCATTCTTAAGCCTTGACTGTTTCAAATGGAGGAAATAGAGTTCCAGAAGAGAGAAATATTTCAATAAAAACGTATTTTTTTTTCTGTATCACTCCTAAAGAGATCACCAACCTCTGGTCTTAACCCATGAAATGCAATGGATTATGGTAAATGAGACTTAACATGGTGGCTCTGAACTTGAACTGCCTGGGTTCAAAACTCATCCTCATCCATCACTATCTGCTTGACCTTCAGCCCGTTCCTTAATGTCCTCAGATTCCTCATCTGTCAAATGACAGTAGTAAGAATCCCTACCTCCTAAGGTTTCTGTAAACATTAAATGAAATAAAACACCTACGAGCTGAGAACAGTGCCTGACACATTTAAGCATGCATTTAATAAGAGTTAGCTCACTGGGCTATTGAACACTTCATATTGGAAACATAAAATCTCTTTAAAGAGGAGTTGGTTTGAAATAATGTATGTTAAAAACATCAGCTTGTGGTTACAATACAGAAAATACATTGGAAAAGAAAGCAGCTATTTTATTTAAATTCTATGTAAATATCTCAAATACACTGTTACACAGTGCTGAGAATTATGCTACTTCTATTCTCATTTGCACCAGACCATGTTCCAATAATTAGTATATGATTTTATTTACCTGCCATATTTAATTCTGAATTGCTTCAGGATTAAAACACCAAAACAGCCCTAGCTGGTTTGGCTCAGTGGATAGAGTGTCGGCCTTCGAACTGAAGGGTCCTGGGTTCTATTCCAGTCAGGAGCACATGCCCGGGTTGCAGGCTGGATCCCCAATAAGGGGCGTGATCAGTAGTTCTCTCTTATCATTGATGTTTCTATCTCTCTCTCTCCCTTCCTCTCTGAAATTAATAAAAACGCACACACACAAAAGAAACAAAAACACCAAAACAGATCAAGTACTGAAGATTCATTGCATTATATTCATTTGCTGTCAAACAGATATTTAGCAAGACTTGCTTTTACTAATTCTTAATGTGAACATTAAATAACAAAATATTCAACATGAATTTGTGAGCATAACATTGCCGCAGAGCACAGACTGTGGATGTAGAGCAGCTTTTGGAAACTGCATTAACTCTGCATACCTCTATGGTGACACATATGTAGACACATGGTGCATTGGGTGAGTTCTATTAGTTCTAGAGTATCATTGTCAAGAACTGTGTTTGTTAGCCATGAACCATAGACACCTGAGTGTAGGCCAGTGATGGCGAACCTTTTGAGCTCGGCGTGTCAGCATTTTGAAAAACCCTAACTTAACTCTGGTGCCGTGTCACATATAGAAAATTTTTGATATTTGCAACCATAGTAAAACAAAGACTTATATTTTTGATATTTACTTTATATATTTAAATGCCATTTAACAAAGAAAAATCAACCAAAAAAATGAGTTCGTGTGTCACCTCTGACACACGTGTCATAGGTTCGCCATCACTGGTGTAGGCTATAAGATGCACAATCTATACATTTATAAGTCTTCTATCTATATATATAAAAGCCTAAGCAACCCGAATGACCGAATGACCGAATGACCGGAACGACCGTTCAACCTGTCGCTATGATGTGCACTGACCTCCAGGGGGCAGACGCTCAATGCAGGAGCTGCCCCCTGGTGGTCAGTGTGCTCCCACAGCCAACCTCCCTCAGCCCCTCTCCACCGCTGGCCAGCCTCAATCATCCCGATCAGAATCTCCCACAGCTCCTTCCCTCCCACCCCTGCTGGCTGGCCCCAATTGGGAATGGGCAAGAGGCCCAATCGGCCCGATTGCTGGCCAGGCCAAGGGACCCCATCTGTGCACAAATTCATGCACCGGGCCTCTAGTATGTGATAAGTAGAGGTAATTTCTACAGTAAACAACTTGATGAAGAAAATGAAAGTTAAACTGTCTTGACCTATGGCTGTTATCTCATTGCAAATGAAAATGTCCTTTACACATGCATTTTCAAAAAATTATTTTTTTTATACTTTGAGTTTAGGGGGGAAAAAAACTTGTAAAGTCTTATTAGAGTGAGAAGGAACAAGAAAGAAAGAAATGCTCTTCAAATTTTCCAGGCTAGGTCAAAGGAGCAGAACACACAGAAACACTAAAAAAATGTAATTTAGGGACCAAAAAAAAGTTAGAAATCAAAATATGAGTAACTGTCATTTGTAAATAGAAGCAGTTGTCATGTAGCTGACTTTTCCTCCTTTTAAGGAAAGAGAGTGCTAGGAAAATAAATGTCTATATCTAGTAATAAATATAAATACCTCAACCTAGGCTCAGATGTTACATTTGAAACAATACAGCATTTCCCTCAAATTGCATTTCTCATTCATAGTTCATTGTCAACTCTTCTCCTATGTTTAAGGTTATCCCTTTCTTTATAAAATTACCACCACACTTTATTTGGGCGGGGGATATACAGAGAGCAAGTGCATAACTGCTGAATATTTCCAGTTTCCTTCAAAACTGTAAAATTCGGGATTTTGGTCACAGTGACTGATTAAGCTGATCTAGTCTCTGGCCCTGTCCAGGGGCCACTTCCTTCGCCAGATCAGCCCCTCTGTCTCCCTCTTCTCCTCACAGCCCTTGTTTTGGGAAGAGAAAAACAAGGGAGTGAGGTGTAGACCATTTCACCTGCGTTACATTCATGGGTCATGGGAGCCTGAGTCTTGGCCATAAAATGAAGTCTCTACATTTGCAAATTCTATACGAGAGACCAAGCTTTTCCTGACCAGGAGAAGAGATCGTTTAGTCAGGACTTGTCTACAGGTTCAAGGTCGCCATTGTCAAAACTCCATGTTCCTCTTACATCAGGATTCAAACAAAGTGACCCCCGCCTCTTCAGGTGGTTAAGGGCTTTTCCCCTTCTTCATGAGAAAGGAACCTTTGCAGGATGTGGGGGTCCTCATGAAACTGCCGTCTCTGGGACAGTGTGAACTGTGAGGTCATTCAGACAGTCGCACATGGAGGACATGTGTGAACGCACCTCGCAAATCAAACTGCTGTGCGCTCACAAAAAAGGTGCCTCAAGAAGGAGATGAAAGGTGGAGCTTTCAAAATGCATTTTGAGCTTAAAGCTCATTTCCAAATTGTCCCCGGTCCTCTCCTAGCATCAGAGGTTACATTAAAATAATCCAGACTGTTCTTTTTTTTTTTAAACTCTTTAGATGCTAATCCATCCCTGTTTTAATTCCTTGTGGCTCCTGGTGATGTCCTATCAAGCAAGACAGTGTCCATGTTTACTCATAAAAAATTCAAATTCAAGAGATTTCAGCTACTCTCTCTCCCCACTGACTCTCATGCTGCTTCCTGGTGAGGAGAAAGTTCTGGGGGAGTGGGGGTGGGGAGACCCACCACTTGGCTGACCACAGTCCCGGTCTTCCCCCTTACAGTTTCCGAGGGAATTGTTCTGTCTGTAGCTATTTTACATATTAGACTTAGCTATGAGCTTTTGTTTGGAAGAAAAAATACCCTCGTTAAAAAGCTGGAAAATGCTGTGTCTGCCTTCACAGAGAAGGAAACGGAAGGCTTGCCTCCTGCCCCGACGCCCGTCCGTGAGAGAAGTGGGACTGCAATGCAAGTCCCTGAATATCCATCCCTTGTTTTGTCCACTTGAAGATGACACTTCCAAACTTTTCATTTCCAGATTAGATCTGACCTATGCCCAAAGCTTCTTCCTTTACAAACTCTTCAAGGCTGACATCAAACACAA